ATCTCCACCAATTTCGTTTCTGGGCTCCCATACCTGATGCATAAGTTGATCGCTTCTAGTCATTCGAGATGCTAGTGTGTTTTCTAATGTGCAATCATGGCTCTTGTGTTTCTAGCATTGACAAGTTGACCGGTGCATTATACCTGGGAGATTTAGTTCATCGAGAGCTTTCCCAACTGGTATTGGACCGTGTCCTTTTTGATGGCCACCCTTGTGAGAAAGTGGACGAGCCTGACACGTTCCCTACGAAATACATCAGTGAAATACTAGCGTAAGTCCCTGTGGCACTACATGACTCACTTTTCTCAGCCTAGGGTTTTTTCTTTTTTCATTTGTTGGGCTAGAACAAGACTGAGTGATTTCAGTGAACAAGAAGGCAGCTACAAAGCGTGTCGTCGTATATGTGATGAGCTCGACGTGCCTATGCATGGTTCCAGTGACTATCACATAATTCGTGGAGTTTGCTATGCTGTGTCAAATCGTAGTGCAGCTATCGTCGCAGCAGGTCAGTATTCGTATCTAACAGCCTACTGTGTCTCAGGGATAAGGAGTGCACCTACAGTCTGCCTACCTGGATTATGAATGTCATTTAGGATCCTGACTATATGCCACAGTCCTGCGATTCTGATGACGATTCCACGGCCGCGTTGGGAGACACGAATCCAGCTGACTTGAAAAGATACTACCTCGTGCAAGGTGCTCTACTGCTGACGTTGTTCCGTTTCTGTCCCAGTTGTGGCCATGAACTGGGCAGGAACGCAACTGAAGGCAGTAGGCACTGCAGCCATGGTACGCTATCTGTGCAACAGCTGTTGTACTCGTGCTAAAAGGTAGGAGAGTCAGGATACAAGTGAACGTAAGTTCAAAGGGAACGTTGTGGCAGCTGTGTCCGCTATTACTACCGGACTACGATACGTGGTCAGTACTAAATGCTGCTAGATTTTAACAATGATCTTGATGCTTTCGTCGGATATTCAGGAGCTTGAGCGATGGGCCCGTCAGATGGATCTGGCTATATTTTCGAAGTCTTTCTTCTACGAGGTCTTCACATGGAGCAAGCATCAAAACCGTTTATCGCGCCCATCAGCGGTTCGTTGTATCCATGAAGAGTAGTTACGAGATATAAATCATTATTGGTGCAACCAGTCTCTTTTAATTAAGAGTCTGATACAGGAGGGCGAGGGACTCCACCTGGCAGCCGATGGAGCCTATGATAGTCGAGGATACTCGGCTATGATAGGCAAAGTTGTGCTGTCAGATCTGCGTTCTCCATACTGGTGTGCTCCATCGATCGGAGACGGGTAAGGCGACAGTGACTCCACACTAGAACATCTACGATGCGAGCCATTCCAGAGAACATTAGTACGCGGATGGAGATCGAGGGCATCAGGCGTGTCATGCGATGGGTAGTTGGATGTTGAGTTGGTCTCCAGATGTCGTCACTGACGACTGATCGCA